ACACCTATAACACGACTTGGTTTCAGCTGGCAGTGGTGCCTAACAGCTTGCATTCACTTTAAGTTATTTACAACCTCTTCCGCGGCCACTGATGACACTATGAACTGATTTAACTAAAGGCACAGCACTACACTCCCTGGTTGGCCTTTATCCCAGCCGTGGCCACAACACCGTAAAAAAATATAATAAAATAAAAGCTTTGTCATATGGCAATGATTTTGTGGTTGTAGGCCTCCTGACCTTTTACTTTTACTTTTTTACTTTTATCCTCTTCGCCACTGATCGGCTTGTTAGCCGCTTGGGCGATCGGTCACGTCTCTTTTCATTTATATTCTTCACCAAAAGATCGGCTCGCTAGCCGCCCGGGCGATCGGTCACGTCTCTGTCACGCACTGTTGGCAAATACTGGGCATGCACCGGCTCCTGAATGTACCTGAACCCGCTCCAGTGTTGGTCAAGTCTTCTCTTGAAAGAGCTCACACTCGGTGCCGTCACAACACTCTCTGGTAGATTGTTCCAAGAGTTCTCAACCTCACTCCGAAAAAGTTTGCCCTCACGGTTTTCTGGACTTGCGGCTTCTTCAATCTTGAGCTGTGACCCCTTGTGGGGCGAGCGTCCGCCAGCTCCAAGTAAGGACACTCAACTGAGTAGTGCCCCCTGAGATGCTTATACACCTCAACTAGGTCCCCCCTTGCCCGTCTGTAGTATAAGCTAGGCAAGTTCAGGCGCTCCAATCTCTCAGGGTAGCTGAGGTGCCGAAGTGCAGGCACCAGTTTGGTGGCCCTCCTTTGAACATTTTCAACCAACTGACAGTCCCTAGCATATCTCGGGGACCAGATGGGGTGACAGTACTCCAGATGGGGAAGCACTTCACTCCTGAAGATCGTCACGAGGGACGGACCGTCTAGATATCTGAACGACCTTCTTATAAGACCCAATAATTTATTTGCCTGATTTACCTTCTTCTCACAATGGCCCGAGAACTTCAGCTCATTGTCAACATACACACCTAGGTCCTTCTCACACACAGTCTCAACTAGTGCATTTTCTTCATCCCGTTGGGACATATGATACGCCTCCTTACCATTGGTACGCCCCAGGTGCATCCTCTTACACTTCGTGACATTGAATCTCAGCAGCCATTTCTTCGACCATTCTTGGAGCCCACAGAGGTCCTTCTGCAGCTCTTCACAGTCCGCTTGGTTCTTAATTTCCCGAAATAACTTGCCATCATCGGCAAACATTTGTATGGAGGAGTGTACAACGTCAGGCATGTCATTTATGAAACAAACAAACAACAGCGGGCCCAATACACTACCCTGCGGTACCCCACTTGTTACAGGTACAGATGACGATTTCGTGCCATTAATCACCACACACTGCTTGCGGTCATGTAGAAAGTCTTCTATCCACGCTAGGACATTTCCCCGAATTCCGTACCCTTCCAGTTTGATTTTCAGCCTTTCGTGGGGTACACTGTCGAAAGCCTTGGCAAAATCTAGGTAAATATTGTCGATATTACCACCCCGTTCTAGAATATGGGTCCAAATATCCAATCCCTTGAGCAATTGTGTTAAGCAAGAGCGCCCCGGCATAAAACCGTGTTGGCAATCTTTTACAAGGTTGTTTCGTAGTAGATGTTCCATCGCGGCATCTCTGATAATACTCTCAAGTACTTTACATATTATGCTGGTCAGGCTCACCGGTCTATAGTTGTTCGTGGAGTGACTATCGCCCTTCTTGAAGATAGGACTCACATAAGCCACTTTGGGGAGGGGAGGGGAAAGCAATGTACTGATGACATTAGTAGATATTAGTTCTCTGTTGATATAAAGATTTATATATATACTCGACAGATTTTTTTTTTAGATTGCCCCCGAGAGGGCTAGTTTATTGGGCACCCCCTTACATTCTGTGCAAGGTGAAGCGCAGAAGCGTTTACAGCGCCCATCTGGGAAGCATGCGTAGTTCATGCTTGCATTTAAGACTCTTGCATTAAGGGCGTAAAGGCCTGAAGGGTCATTGGTTTTGTCAGCAAGTTACATAAAGTGACAGAATGATGAGTGTGTGAGGGGAATTCCCGGTACAATTTATCTGTTTATGGCAAAGCGTGGCAGGTCCCTAATAATGTCAAGTGCCAGGCCATAGGCATTGACAGACGGACATACCTTTTAGTGTGATTTTGATGGCGTGTACGTCGGTAGTGTCGGCTTCAAAACGGACGTCGAGAGGTTGGTAGGGGACACCTTCTTGGCATAGATGTGTAGTCCACTAGTGACTAGCATGTCCCCATGGTGGCCAATTGATGTGGAGAACTGGAGTGGATGGGCCCCAGGTGCCGGCATGCTGGTGGAGGAGGGGGAGCCGGGGGTGGTGTCCTCGGGTCCATGAGCGCACAGTGGGTGGACGGGGGCAGCCGGGCACACCGGGACAGGCTTGGTAGGTGCCACGCCACCAGTGATGCCAGGCGGCGGTGGAGTAGACCGTGAGCAAGAGGGGCACACAGGGGGGCTACCAGCTTGTGTCAAACCAGAAGAGGGGAGTGACTGGGTAGCAGCTGAAGGCAGGGGTAGTCTGTGTAGGTTGGAGATGGCGGTACAGAGTGTATCAAAGAGTCTTTCAATACGGTTGGTAAATTCGTGGAAGAGGGATATGATCTGTGTCGTGTCGCCGGATGGGGGTTGTGGGGGGGCACCGGTGGGAGCACAAGGCCTGACAGCGTCAGAGTAGAGACGGGGAGGAGGCCCAGTAGTAGGTGAGTTAGGAGACGGCCGGGACTGCTGTATTGCAGCCAGGTGAGGCCAGGCAGGGGCAGGTGTTGTTGAAGAAGGCGTTGCCAGAGGAGGGGACGCAGAAGGATGCGGCCCGGTAGGCTGGGGGGCAGGTTGAGGTTGACGAAGCCTTCGGGGAGGCTTTTCTCCTGGGACAGGCGGACGTTTGGAGCATTGCCGTGAGTCAGCATTGTGCCAGCCACCACAATTACAACACCTGGGGTCAATAACTTAGCCCACACCACCCCCATTGAGGTGGTCTTTGATTTTCTGGGCACAGACGGAGGAGTGATGGTTACGTGAACAGAAACCACATCTCGATAGCTTCAAACATAGGTTGGATGAATATATGAGCAATAGAACATAAGAACATAAGAAAATAAGGAGTCTGCAATAGGCCGGTTGGCCTGTGCATGGCAGCTCCTGTCGAGAGTTACTACCACTCTCTATCATCCATGAATCTATCTAGCCTCCTTTTGAAACTTTCCAGAGTTCCAGCACTTACTACAAAGTTGCTAAGCTTGTTCCACTCGTCCACCACCCTATTTGTGAACCAGTTTCTTCCTATCTCCCTCCTAAACCTAAACTTATCCAACTTAAATCCGTTGCTCCGAGTCCTATCCTGCTGGGATATTATAAGAACTTTATCTATATCCCCTTTATTGATTCCTTTCACCCACTTGAATACTTCTATCATATCTCCCCGCACTCTTCCTCTTTCTAGGGAATGCAAGTTAAGTTTCTTTAACCTATCCTGATATGGAAGGTTTCTAAGGGGCTGGGTGTAAGCGGGACTGCCCAGTATGGGCCAATAGGCCTGCTGCAGTTTCCTCCTTTCTTATGTTCTAACGAGGTACATACTGTCCAGGGGAGTCTGGTGGCAGCGACCTTAAAATTAAGAATATAGTTAAGTTATTCCCCTAGAATTAGTGACCCCAGAATCTGGCAGTATAGTGTCAATACTTTCGAGTTAACCCGACTGCAATCCGAGGCAGACAAGCGCCAACGCCTGAAAGATGCAGCCCTCCACATGTGCAACGAATGTAGAGGACCCTGCCGGTCCCGTATCAGCCTCTTTAGTCACCTCAGAACTCACCATTGAAGTTGACATCCCTAAGAACTCATATAATTGTGTTAAGCTGGATGATCGTCATTCTCGATTCTGAGATACAGCAAAGTAGTAGGGGTATAAGAGGAGCACTTAAGTGTATTAATTAACCCAGGAGGCAGCCAATAAGAAAACAAAATAATATAAGAAAATAAGTTTGTATTGTTTATGCGAAGTTTTAACAAAACGAATGAATAACGAGACTTGAAAACATAGCTGATAATGTTTTTAGTAATGTTGTAGAAAGTAGATTATAACTGTTTGTTTTTTGTATATGTTGTTTGTAAATAGAAGAGTATTGTGATCCTGTTAAAAATTATAACAATAAAAATCTCAACTTGTTAAAGAACGAATTCGTGAAATAAAACGAATTCTGAATATAGAGGTAATCACATTCTCCCAACCATAGAAGATTTAAGTGATGTTATGCAAAATAAATGACATGAAAGAGTTAAGAAATGCATCATTATATAATTCAGTAAAGTTGGTACGATTGCTTCTTGCCATGTGACCGTCTATTAAACTTTAAAAAAAATCTACCTTATCGACCGAGTTGTCCTTATGTAGATTATAAGAAGAAGGCTCAATTATAATTCAAATGAAGAATCTACCTTATATTTGATTATATGGAGTCATTGATATCAGTAATAAACAGAGGAAGATTGTGAGTATTGGCAGTTGGTCGCCATTTTACGGAGGCTGGCTATCCTGATCTCTTTGTATCGACCGGATTAACATGTAAGTACACACCAATATTCCCCTATCACCTAAACTACTGCAATAGATGACCTTTCCTCTATGAATTTTGAAGTGTTTCCATTATTCTACCAAGAAACTCTATCAATCATGCTGTTCGAATGTGTCAAAGTTGGAGGAAAATTGAATGGTGTTTTATTTCCTCCGACTTCGCCCTGTGGTCTCGCCTGACGCCGCCACAACCACCCACCCAAAAACAACCATTATTCACCTATTAACACCTTAATTAAACCTTTATCACGCTTGGGAACACATCAAAATCCATTTAAATGAGAAGTAATGGATGATCTCAGTATCATAGGGGGCAGTGTGGTCGATGTCAAGTGAGTTTTGTGTTAAAATAGAGGTGGAGTTTATTCTGTTCATAATGGCTATTGCACGCCAGCTTCGGACGCCATCATGTGTTTCAGACGCATAAATAACTTGTACTATACTTGCTTTACCCGAAACTGACCAAAATGATACTTAGTGTGTTGCTTTACCCGAAACTGACCAAAATGATACTCAATGTTGTACACCACACAGCTCCACTTAACTCCTAACTGATGATATATGATTCTTGGGAACCGAATATTGTTTGATTTTTAATAACATATGATTGTAATATCAGTAATTTGTATTCAGTTATAATGTATAATATATAAATAATAGGTATAGAGTGAATTTCATAGAATGTTATATTGTAGAAGTGATGCGAGTACTGTAAAGCTTGTCACAGGCAACCAGGTTTACTTTATTGACTAATATTCAAGGCTAAGTGAAGAACTGTAAATAACCACCTGATTGTCGTTGTTGTCTATCCTTGGTCGCATTGATAGATAATTATTTACAGTATTCAGTAATATCGTCATGCAAGTTTACGATAGGTTCAGCTTGTGTAAAAGACAATGCAGGCTGGTGCAAAGTGCAGGTATACAAAATCCAGTTTATTTAGACAGAAGGTACAGTATACAAGCAGTGGTAAACAGTAAGGTACTTCAAACAAGGATAGTCAAACATTTTTTTTTCTGGGTAAAGTACAGTATGTTGTATACTGGTACCAACACTTGGTGTATTGTATTGGGTTCCATGACCAAACTCCAACGGGGTTGTCATTTGTTAACACTAACCTAACCTAAACAAAGGTGTTTTATTTTATATAAGACTGGGGTTTTGTCCATTGGGGTTTTATTCGGTCACCATTGCATTGTATACTAGCAATGTCAAGATACATTGTTGATACACCAGCACTGGCTTGGTACATTATATACAAGCACAGCCTTTGTACGGGGGTCCGACTAATTACCCAAATGTAGCCGCAATGAAGTCAAATAATGGTCCTACATGAATAAATCGGACTGCCAATCACTTCTCGACTGGTATTTGGTGTCACGAAGTCAAAAAAAATTGGTAAACTTAATTTAATCTGAGTTAATAGATCGAGTGCATGTACCTAACCTTACCTAACCTAACACAACTCAGATTAAATTAAGTTTACCAATTTTTTGTGACTTTATGACACCAAATAATAATCGAGAAGTGATTCACAGCCCGATTTACGCTTGTAGGACCATCATTTGACTTCATTGCGGCTACATTTGGGTAATTACTCGCTCCCTCGGTACATGCACGCGATCTTTTAACTCAGATTAGAGTAAGTTTTCCAATTTTTTTTTACTTTGTGACACCAAATACTAGTCGAGAAGTGATTGGCAGTTTGATTTATTCATGTAGGACCATTATTTGACTTAATTGCGACTACATTTGGCTACATTTGGGTAATTAGTCGGACCGTTTGTACGGTGCTATGTATTATAGTGTGCGGTCTACAAGGATATCTTTAGTCTAACCAAACCTAACCTAAATATCTGTACTTTGTGAACACTTAACTATGGCTTTAAATCAGACAAATTTAGATTTTGGAGTGAGATAAGAAAACACTGGTTTGGAAATCGAGTAGTGGATGAGTGGAAAAGTTACCAAACATCATCATTAACTCAAACACTCAGGGATTACTGTAGGCTGGGCAGATATAAGAACGATATGGGTTAGGTGTAAGTGTGGCTGCCTAGTACCATACATAAGAACACAAGAGTGGAGAAAACTGCAGCGGGCCTATTGGCCTATACTGGGCAGTCTCATTTACACCCAACCCCTATCGCTCATATATCCATCCAACCTATGTTTGAAGTTATCCAGCATATTCGAGTTAATGATGATGTTAGGTAATTTGTTCCACTCTTCCACTATATTACCAAACCAACGTTTACCTATTTCGTGCCTAAATCAAAATTTGTCGAATTTAAAACCATTGTTATGAGTTCGCTCCTGGTTCGATAGTTTGAGTACCTTTGTTATATCACCTTTGTTTAGCCCTGACTTCCAGTTATACAACCTTGATCATATCGCCCCTCACTCTACGTCTCTCGAGGGAGAGCATATTAAGATGCTTTAACCTGTCTCTGTACTCAAGGTTCCTAATGCCCGGGATTAGTCTTGTCATTCTCCTGTGAATTATTTCTAGGGATTCTATATCCATTCTGTAGTACGGTGACCAGAACTGAACTGCGCAATCCAAGTGAGGTCCCACAAGTGCAAGATATAGTTTTAGGATAATCTCGTTAGTCTTGTAGTTAACACTAGCTTTTGTATGAACCCAAGTACTTTGTTAGCCTTGCTTTGAGCAAATACATTTTGTTGACTTGATTTAAGATTCCTACTTATTTACCAATTACACTTTCCAAAATAGAAGATCTCCCACTAATCACATTTCAGGATGCAATCATTTTGCTAAGTTCTAAAATAGATATGCAAGGCCACACCATCTCCTCTAAAATGTTGTGGAAGCCACACTTCCACGACATTGCTAAAGCTGCCTCCCGAAAGCTGGGAATGCTGTACAGATGCCATAGCTATTTCACTCCTGAGCAGTTTCTTCAAGTTTATAAGGGATTCATTTGTCCATACTTGGAGTACTGCTCTCATATCTGGGGTGGCTACTCGGTATTCTTCTGTCCATCTGTTAGATAGGGTGGAATCAAAGGCATTTTGTGTTATTAACTCTCCTCCCTTTCTGGTGGGGGGCTTCCAATAGTTAAATTCCTATGATTCCCGGATGACTGAAAATAAAATAATAGCTACCTTATTGTCATATTTCCTGTTCATAATCTGATACACCTCTGTCATATCTACTGTAAGGCAGTGATATACCAGTGTCGGTAGATCTAATTTCTTCAGCCTGTATGGATGCTCTCAATAGTGACCACATCTTTCTTCTTATGTGGGGACCTTACTGTACTGACTGTCGCTGATCAGGTGAGGCCTAACCATTGCCTTGCACAGCCATCTGAAATTTGTTCTTTTTCTCAAACATGTTCAAAACTAACATTCATCTGTAATCACCCCAAAGTCCATTTCCTGGTGAACTATCTCTAGTGAAATTACTGTATCTGTATGGGGTTGTCTTGCACTTCCCTGGGTGTTATCTTAGCCAGTTGTCCAACCACTTACAGAATGATGAGCATCCAGATCTGCCTGTAGCACTTCATGGTCACCATGGTTAGGGATTTATGTGAAGATCTTAGTATCATAAGTGAAAAAGTATGTGCTAGATGAGACACATACCAGCAGATCGTTAAACAACACAAATGGTACTGGACCACAAAATGCTTCTTACGGGATACCTCTGAGGAATTCTACCCAACCCAAAAAAGTTCCGTTCACAGCCACTCATTACCTCCTCTTTGTCATGTTGTCTCTCGATGATGCCATAACTATTAAATTTGTGTAGTATCCTCTGATGGAGGACTGTGCCAAAAGGTTTTTGAAAATCCATGTACTTTACAGAAAAGAGTACCAGATATACCACATCCACACAGCCATCTTCATCCAGGGTCTCTGTCTACTCATCTAGTACAGTACTATACTCTTGAGTAGCTGCAACATTTTAGTTACCTGTATATCATAAACAAATTGTTTACTGTAAATGAAAACACTCAATATTTGGTGCTACTATAGCTTGTGTTTTACAACATATTTAAATGTTTAGTTTCTAAATTTTCCTAGTGATTTAGTATTTTAGTATTTTTAGGTAAGTTGAGGTTAAGTTAGGGTAGGGTAGACGAAAGACATCATTGTAAATTGTACTGTATTGCCATAGGAGCCCCAAGTTTCCTTTCTCTCCTAGTCTACAGTACTGTACTGTATTTATATCAGTGCTGTTCTCCATATAATTTACACTACGTACATGTATTCTCTTGCCGAATTCAACTGATATGTATACTGTACGTATATGTGATATGCTAATATAATCTATATAAAATTGAAATGGTTGCTTGTTCTGTTTGAAGTTGAATTAGTGAAAGTTAAATAAATATAGGTATTCCTGAAGACAAACCCAACCCTAAATAAGAAAGAGGAAGAATATCCTGTGCTGGATGTGAAAGAAGATAGAACAAGCTGTACACAGATAATAACCATTAAGTGAATAAAGTACTTGGGTGATAATCATTCTACTTTGCCAAGTAGTTTTTTATAAGTTTTTCATGCAGTATTATAAATTACCAGAGTTAAAGGTTAAAACATATTGTACTGTACTTGTGAAAATGATAAGTCATCTGGATATTTGACTGAGATACTTGTCATTTTTATTTGTCTAAAGTTTGAGTGAGATTTAAATGTGTTAGTATTAGCTATAGTACAGTACAGTATTTAATGTGTACTGTATGATAAAAATCTTTAATTGTTTTAAGGTTCTCACTCCAGACACCTGACCCTCACTTCATGCTATTGTTATGTTCTGCAAAAATCTCAAGTCACTAAAAAATGGAGACGTGTTCCAAAACCATAGCTGGAGCTCCCCCAACTTTAATTTTGGCATTTTTTTATGAAAAAGATACAGTACACTAAAAGACAACAGTAATGTTATAAAAGTTGTGGAAAAGGCATTACAATACTCTAATGTGTCTTAGAAATAAAGAAAATATTATATAAATCTATAAAAAAGAAAAATGGCAACATGCCATCTCACAGGTCACCTCATCCCCAGATTTTTTGTAGAATTAGGGTCCTCGCATCATTGCATATAACAAGTGTGCATAAATCAAAGGTCAGGTGTACTGTAATCAGTTTGATAGAAATAGTGCAACTGTATACAGTCCTGTACTTATATAACTTTTTTTGCTCTAGGTTCACTTCAAGATATACTGTACTGTAGTGGTTTAAAAAATGGATTTTGAAGATCAACGGAGAATGTTTGCCATGAATATGGGTGGCCATCCCATGGCAAATCATCATGCTACCAACCAACAAGCAGTGCAACAAGCAGCAGCCCAGCAGGCAGTTCAGCAAGTGGCACAGCAGGTAGCACAACCGCCACCTCCTCATACCAGAATATTAATGCCAGAGGCAAGTTTGCCCATGGTGGTTGGCACTCGTCCAGGGCCCATGGATACAACTATGGCTACAATAACCACACAGATGGCTGGTACTCAGCAAATTACTATGCATCATACTGTGCATCAACAGCAGCTTGCTCACCATCAACAGCAGCAACAAGCAGCCCAGCAACAAGTTGCACAGCAGCAGATAGCTCAGCAGCAACAACATATAGAGGTGGCTGTAGGCATTACAGACACTAGTGGAGAACCTGGTTCTTCATTAGTAGGAGTTTTGGAAGAAGGAACAGAAGTTAAAAGAGTGGAACAACAAGATCCTTTAGCTATTGACGTAGGTGGAGGTGGTGGTGAAATGGCAGCAGCAGGACATAGTAACATGGAGCAGTCGCGCTGGTGTCTGGTGTGTGATAAGGGTCTTCCTACTCAAGATACTTCCCAAGAATTTGTTGATCTTTATAAAGCCACCATGACGGTGAGCCAGAGAAAGTTATCAGCAATGTTGGGTCGTTTGGTGGGGTTGACTCTTTACAAGGCTCACAGCGATGTTTTGTGTCGACGCTGCTATGGACTTGTGGATCAGGTCGATGGACTTGAAATTGAATTAGCAGATACTAAAATGGAATTAGTACAACAATATGAGGCGACTATTGCGCATCGACAGCCACACGCCAAAAAAGAAATCGAAAGACCTACGGTAAGTTTTAACATCATTTTTTTTTTCATTTTCTTTTTTAATTAATTTTTATTCTTTTCAGAAATTTGTTTAGAAATGTTTCACCTCTATTTCTGAATACAATACAGGAGACCTTAGTTATTATTCCAGGATGCTTCCTTAGAATAGTCATGCAATCAGAAAATCTCCATATGAAGATAATTTTACTTAGGGGCAGGCAGATCCTGGGGGTCAGGACCCCCCCTTTCATCAGATAATTCCAATACTTTTTCTTTAATGCAGTATTGTATTCAGACATTTTTGTAATGTATAGTAAAAAGTAATTGCTATTGACCTCAGGATATCTCCTAATATCAAGTGCACATGGCTTCAAAATGCCCATGATATTGGTCGGATTTCAAAAAAATTTCTGGGTGGGCCTTACAGCACTCCCCTAAAAAAACCCAGCGGGGTGAGTGAGTTCGTTGTACTTGCCGTGTTCCCTCACCCACAACTTCATGGAACCATCCCCCCCTTATTTTTTATATTCCTGGATCCAACCCTGTTACCCCATTTACTTTTATTCTCTTCGCCACTGATCGGCTCGTTAGCCGCTTGGGCAATTGGTCATGTCTCTGTTACGCACTGTTGGCAAGTACTGGGCATGCACCTGCTCCTGAATGTACCTGAAACTGCTCCAGTGTTGGTCAAGAGCTCACACTCGGTTCCGTCACAACACTTTCTGGTAGATTGTTCCAATAGTTCTCAACTCTCACTCCAAAAAAGTTTGCCAATCACAGTTTTCTGGACTTGCGGCTTCTTCAATCTTGAGCTGTAACCCCTTGTGGGGCGAGCGTCCACCAGCTCCAAGTAAGGACACTCGACTGAGTAGTGCTCCTTGAGATGCTTATACACCTCAGTTAGGTCACCCCTTGCCTGTCCGTAGTATAAGCTAAGCAAGTTTAGGTGCTCCAATCTCTCAGGGTAGCTGAGGTGCCGAAGTGCAGGCACCAGTCTGGTGGCCCTCCTTTGAATATTTTCAACCAACTGACAGTCCCTAGCATATCTTGGGGACCAGACGGGGTGACAGTAATCCAGATGGAGAAGCACTTCACTCTTGAAGATCGTTACGAGAGACGGACCGTCTAGATATCTGAACGACCTTCTTATAAGACCCAATAATTTATTTACCTGATTTACCTTCTTCTCGCAATGGCTCGAGAACTTCAGCTCATTGTCAACATACACACCTAGGTCCTTCTCACATTCAGTCTCAAATAGTGCAGTTTCTTCATCCCGTTGGGACATATGATACTCCTCCTTACCGTTGGTATGCCCCAGGTGCATCCTCTTACACTTCGTGACATTGAATCTCAGCAGCCATTTCTTCGACCATTCTTGGAGCCCACAGAGGTCCTTCTGCAGCTCTTCACAGTCCGCTTGGTTCTTGATTTCCCGAAATAACTTGGCGTCATTGGCAAACATTTGTATGGAGGAGTGTACAACATCAGGCATGTCATTTATGAAACAAACAAACAACAGCGGGCCCAATACTCTGCCCTGTGGTACCCTGCTTGTGACAGGTACGGATGATGATTTCGTGCCATTAATCACCACACACTGCTTGCGGTCATGTAGAAAGTCTTCTATCCTTGCTAGGACATTTCCCCGAATTCTGTACCCTTTCAGTTTGATTTTCAGCCTTTCATGGGGTACACTGTCTAAAGCCTTGGCAAAATCTAGGTAAATATGTCGATATTACCAGCATCAATTTTAGGAGTATACTCCTGTACTGTACTTTAAAATGTATAATTAAGCATAAAAATCTTAAGTACTCA